TGTTGGCCAGTCTAGCATATGCCGTTGATGATAGATATTCTTTTGATGTGGGCCTCTGGGGACATGTTCGGTGTGATATAAACCTCCCAGATCTTTCTCTTTATCTGACTCTTGTAGGATTTCACCTCCTAGATGGTACCTTGTGTTCAGCCTTCTGCTCCCTTCGCCTAATTTCATTTTTCATCCTGTGCACAAGGATGTCTGGAATATTAATTGGAGTGGAATCCTCAGCTCAGTTGCATATTCTCGCAGCACCCAAGGTGACACAACATCAGATCCAACTGCTTGATTTCTTCCTAACCCCTTGAGTAATTTTTCCACTTCGTCTTGAGATACCTCTATGTATTCTATGGCGTGCTCTGGAATTGGTATGTGTTCCGGCTCTCTGAAATCCTCATTTTGTTCAAACACACTTTGGAACTGTTCATTTAGCGTTTCACACATTTTTTTTATTTCTCAGTTGTCCTGTTCCCCATTCTCAATCTTTGGATTTTATCCTTTACATGCGGCTTGCTTTTAATGAATTTATAGAAAAAGTCTGGATCTGCTTTACATTTGTCCGCTATACCTTTCTCAAAGGTCCTTTCTGCCTCTCTCCTCTCCGCTCTGTAATTGTTTCTTGCTTGCTTGTAGTGCTCGTATGTTTGTGGGTTAGGCCTCTTCCGATATTGAACCCATTTTCTTTTCTTTTCCTCTCAGGGTCTCTCACAATTTTTGTTGAACTAACCCTTTTTTCTGGTCCGGCATGTGTAGGTGTGTGTGTGTGTGTGTGTGTGTGTGTGTGTGTGTGTGTGTGTGTGTGTGTGTGTGTGTGTGTGTGTGTGTAAGTAATCTGTAATAGTCAGGATTTCAGCCTCTTAAAAACATTTCTGTCTCTATAAATGCTAAATATCTTGCAGTTGTGTTCAATACTCATTACTGCTATGTTGTGCCGAGTGACTTTCTCAAGAGGTGAAGGCAAATATGAACGATCTAAAGACACAGTGTGTCATCTCCGTCCTTGTAGCTCCCATTTAGCATCATCTTCCACTCCTTGCCCCTCCCTCTTGTGTAGCCCCCCCCCCCCCCACCATCTCTTCTCTCTGTTCCCCCCTTAACCCCCTCTCGACCCCGTGTTGGAAACGATTTTCAAATTAATGCCATTAAAAGAAAAAAAAACAGTGGCACCAGACCTGCTCCTGAGATCCAGAGAATTCTTCCCCCAACGACTCGGGCTAAAAATGTCCGGACACGATCTCCCGCGCAAATCTGTCATCGCCTTGTCTTTTCCCAGTCGTGTAGCAGCCCTCCAGCGCCGCCAAGAGACCCCGGTGTGGAGCTGCTGGACTCCTGAGGGAGATGGTCTTGTTATGGTGCGCTGGGGGCGCTCTTGTGCTTGAGACACGGGAGGCTTCACACGGACGCAGGTAGAGAGCAACAAACGCACCTCACACGAACGTAGCTAAAGAGACGTAACAAACGCACCCTAATTGAAATTTATGCTCACGCACAATGCGTAATTACCTAAGTGTAATTACCTAAATGTAGTTACAGGATGAGAGTTAGGCTCGTGGTGTCTCGTCTTCCCAGTACTCTTTGTCGTATAGCGCTTTGAAACTGCTGACGGTTTTGGCCTCCACCACCTTCTCACGTAGCTTGTTCCAACCGTCTACCACTCTGTTTGCAAAATAAAACTTTCTAATATTTTTTCCGGTATCTTTGTTTCCTTGTCTTGATTCTGTGTCTTCCTGTTCGTGAAGTTGTTTGTTTCAAGAATTCCTCTTTGTCTGGGAGGGAGCCGGTCGGCCGAGCGGACAGCACGCTGGATTTGTGATCCTGTGGTCCTGGGTTCGATCCCAGGCGCCGGCGAGAAATAATGGGCAGAATTTCTTTCACCCTATGCCCCTGTTACCTAGCAGTAAAATAGGTACCTGGGAGTTAGTCAGCTGTCACGGGCTGCTTCCTAGGGGTGGAGGCCTGGTTGAGGACCGGGCCGCGGGGACACTAAAGCCCCGAAATCATCTCAAGATAATCTCAAGATAATCTCTTGTCAATTTGGTCGACTCCTGTTAGTATTTTGTAAGTGGGGATCATATCACCTCATTTTCTTATATCTTCCAGTTTTGGCATGTTTAACTCCTCTAGTATCTCCTCCTAACTATTGTGTTTCAGTGCAGGAAGCCATTTTGCAGCATGCCGTTGCACCTTTTCCAGTTTCTTTATATGATTCTTGAGATTTGGGCACCATGCAACTGCTGCATATTCTAATTTTGGTCTCACAAAAGTCATGAACAATTTCTTTAGTATTTCACCATCCATATAATTAAAAGCAAGTCTGAAGTTGGAAAGCGACGCATCACGCTCCTCTCACAATGTTCTTTATGTGTTCTTCTGGCGACAGATTACTGTCCAAATCCACCCCAAGATCTCGTTCTTTATTAGAGTTCTGTAATTTCTTTCCACATAATTTCTAAGTTGTGTGCGGTCTATTTTCTTCGATTCCACATTCCATAACATGGCATCTATTCACATTGAATTTCCTTTGCCACTTGTCGCTCCAAGCACTTATTTTATCTACATCAATTTGAAGGGCATTATACAATCGTCTGCGTCTCTTATCTTCCCCAGTATCCTAGCATTATCTGCAAACATGTTCATATAATTCTGAATTCCTTCTGGTAGATCGTTCATGTAGACGATGAACATTACTGGTGCAAGAACTGAACCCTGTGGTACTCCGCTAGTAACACTCCTTCGGTCAGATACATTGTGTCTGATTACTGCCCTCATCTGTCTGCCAGTTTGAAAATTTTCATCCATGTCAGAAGTCTCTTTGTCACTCCTCCAGCATGTTCCAGTTTCCAGAACAGCCTCTTTTGTGGGACTCTATCAAAAGCCGTTTTTAAGTCTAGATAGACACAGTCAACCCAACCACCTCCTTCCTATAGTATCTCTGTGGCTCTATCATAAAAACTAAGTAGATTTGTTACAAAGGATCTTCCTGTTCGAAAACCATATTGTCTCTCCGTTATTATGTCATTACTCTCTAGGTGTTTAACCCATTTGGCTTTACTATTTTTCTAGTGTTTTGACTACCACGTTTGTTAATGATACGGGTCTATAACTTAGAGGTTCCTCTCGACTACCATTTTTATAGATTGGTACTATGTTTGCCTAATTCTATATATCTGCTAAGATTCCTGTGCACAAGGATGTCTGGAATATTAATTGGAGTGGAATCCTCAGCTCAGTTGCACATTCTCGCAACACCCAAGGTGACACTCTATCAAATCCAACTGCTTTATTTCTTCCTAACCCCTTGAGTAATTTTTCCACTTCGTCTTGAGATACCTCTATGTATTATATGGCGTGCTCTGGAATTGGTATCTGGTCCGGCTTTCTGAAATCTTCATTTTGTACAAACACACTTTGGAACTGTTCATTTAGCGTTAACACATTTATTTTTAATTCTCAGTAGTCCTGCTTCCCGTTCTCAATCTCTGAATTTTATCCGTTACATGAAGCTTGCTTTTAATGAATTAATAGAAAAGACCTGATTCTGTTTTATATTTGTCCGCAATACCTTTCTCAAGTTCTTTTCTGCCTCTCTCCTCACCGCTGTGTAATTGTTTCTTGCTTGCTTGTAGTGCTAATATATTTGCATGTTAGTTCTTGTCAGTTATTGAACTCATTTTCTTGTCTAATCCTCTCTGGCCCTCTCACAATTTCTGTTGAACCAATCCTGTTTTCTGTCTTGCATCTGTATTTTGGTATGAATGTTTGTGTGCCTTCATCCTGTATCTTGTGTCTTCATCTTGTTTTGTGTGCCTTCATTTCGCAAAAGTCGGCATACATCTCACTTACAAATTAATTTTTTCTTCATCTCTATTCCCATTTAGACGTTTTACTTCATCAAGGTTTGCTTTCGGCTTTTCTCTGTCATCCTTTGAGAGGTCTTGTCTTATTCACCTAAGTTTGCCATTCACATCACTATGTAATTTCCTGGCATTTCTAAGCACTTCCATCATTTATTTTACTTCATTAAATATCACCCTTAAGGGGGCGAATCTTGTTTTTCTCATATTTTCCTATTCTCCTAAAATCACTGACTTTTCCTTTGAATTGAGGCCTTCTACTAAACCTACAATTTTCTCAATGATTTTCATCTCTTCTGCTGCTCTGTCCACCCTTGATGATATTTCATTTTCAAAACATCCAAAAATTATTGACTTCTTCAGGTTATCTTGTGATGATTACGGGGCTTAGCGTCCCAGCGGCCCGGTCCTCGACCAAGCCTCCTTTTTTGTTATACACCCCCCCAGGAAGCAACCCGCAGCAGCTGTCTATCTCCCAGGTACCTATTTACTGCTAGGTAACAGGGACATCAGGGTGAAAGAAACATTTTGCCCACCGCCTCCACCACTTACTTCTATCTGCAGTATTTTGTACTAATATTCTGTTGGTAACCAGTTCTTTCCTAATTGTTTGTCTAATTTCTGCATCTTGTTCGTCATTTCAGGTTTTGATTTCCAAAAACACTTCCTTGATTGTCTCTCTCTCTTACAATTTGCACATACGCGTCTTTAATTTTCCCTTTGTACTTTTCTAGTTCTTTATTAACCTCCTCTGTGTGAGTTGTTCATTACGGTTCTCTGTACATCCCGTATTATCCTTGCCTAACTCCATGTTGGCCTTTAGGGTTCCTTGGAGTTGTTCAACGTGTGTGTGTATTTTACTATTTGTGTCTGTATAATGGAACTATTAGCTCTAGGATCCCCTCCTTTCAAACCAATCTATTTTTTCCTCAGTTATATATACTACATATATTTCTCTCTAACAAACACACACACACACACACACACACACACACACACACACACACACACACACACACACACACACACACACACACACACACACACACATACACACAGAGGAAACAGCCCGCAGTAGCTGTCTAACTCCCAGGTACCTATATTCTGCTAGGTCAACAGGAGCATCAAAGTGAAAGAAACACTGACCATTTGTTTCCGACTCCACGGATAATCGATCTCGGGCCATTAGGACTACGACTCCCGAGTGCTGTCCACTCAGCCGCGAAACCCATAGTATGTGTGTGTGTGTGTGTGTGCATGCGTGAGTTCGTGTGCGCGTGTGTGTGTGTGTGTGTGTGTGTGAGGAGACAGTTCGCCCCCACCCGTCCCCCACCTCAAGCCCCCTTAGCAGGAGCCAGGGTCGGTCCCTGAGCCACGGTGGTGTATACACGCCCTTGGGAACCCGCCCGACCTCCCGAAGGGCGGCCACACCCACTGTCAACCACTTGTCCTGGTCCCGTATTGATGGCCACGCCCACCTGGGCCCACCTGGACCCACCTCGGCCACGAGCCGCAAAAGAGAAACAACATTCTCTTCATCTCTCTTCAAACAACACTCACCAGTCTCTGTGGTGTAGTGATAAGGCACTCGCCTGGCGTTCCGCGAGCGCTTTGTCATGGGTTCGTATCCTGGCCGGGGAGGATTTACTGGGCGCAAATCCTTAGCTATAGCCTCTGTTTAACTCAACAGTAAAATGGGTACTTGGTTGTAAAAACGATTCTTCCTGGCGGGGATCGTATTCCAGGGACCTGCCCGAAACGCTACGCGTACTAGTGGCTGTACAAGAATGTAACAACTATTGGATTTATCTAAAAAATATATATATATATAAAAATAACATTATACCTGAGTTTACCATCAAGTTTCATTTACGAATCAGCTTATAATTTCAAAGAATTGTACGCAGATTCTTTAATATTTAAAAGAAGTTGCATACTCAATTCGTGAAAAAAAAGTGTTTCACAGATGGATGGTTGTTCCAGAGGATGGTTGTTTGTTCCAGAGGATGGTTGTTTGTACCAGAGGATGGTTGTTTGTACCAGAGGATGGTTGTTTGTACCAGAGGATGGTTGTTTGTTCCAGAGGATGGTTGTTTGTTCCAGAGGATGGTTGTTTGTACCAGAGGATGGTTGTACCAGAGGATGGTTGTTTGTACCAGAGGATGGTTGTTTGTTCCAGAGGATGGTTGTTCCAGAGGATGGTTTGTTGTTCCATAGGATGGTTGTTCCATAGAATGGATGTTTGTTCCAGAGGATGGTTGGTTGTTCCAGAGGATAGGTGTTTGTTCCAGAGTATGGCTGTTCCAGAGGATGGTTGTTTGTTCCAGAGGATGGTTGTTTCGGAGGGAGGTTGTTCCAGAGGGTGGTTGTTTGTTCCAGAGGGTGGTTGTTTGTTCCAGAGGATGGTTGTTTGTTCCAGAGGGTGGTTGTTTGTTCCAGAGGATGGTTGTTTGTTCCAGATGACAGCTGGTTGTTCCAGAGGATGGTTGTTTGTTCCAGAGGGTGGTTGTTTGTTCCAGAGGATGGTTGTTTGTTCCAGAGGACAGCTGGTTGTTCCAGAGGATGATTGTTCCAGAGGATAGTTGGTTGTTCCAGAGGATGGTTGGTTGTTCCAGAGGATTGGTTGTTCCAGAGGATGGGTTGTTCCAGAGGATATTGTTTGTTCCAGAGGATGGGTTGTTCCAGAGGATGGTTGTTCCAGAGGATGTGTTGTTGTTCCAGAGGATGGGTGGTTGTTCCAGAGGATGGGTTGTTCCTGAGGATATTGTTTGTTCCAGAGAATGGTTGTTCCAGAGGATGATTGTTCCAGACGATGGTTGTTTGTTCCAGAGGATGGTTGTTTGTTCCAGCGGATGGTTGTTTGTTCCAGAGGATGGTTGTTCCAGAGGATGATTTTTCCAGAGGATGGTTGGTTCCGGAGGATGGCTGGTTGTTCCAGAGGATGGTTGGTTCCGGAGGATGGCTGGTTGTTCCAGAGGATGTTTGGTTGTTCCAGAGGATGGTTGATTGTTCCAGAGGATGGTTGATTGTTCCAGAGGATGGTTGATTGTTCCAGAGGATGGTTGATTGTTCCAGAGGATGGTTGTTTGTTCTAGAGGATGGTTGTTCCAGAGGATGATTTTTCCAGAGGATGGTTGGTTCCGGAGGATGGCTGGTTGTTCCAGAGGATGGTTGGTTGTTCCAGAGGATGGTTTGTTGTTCCAGAGGATGGCTGGTTGTTCCACATGGTTGTTCCAGAGGATGGTTGGTTGTTCCAGAGGATGGCTGGTTGTTCCAGAGGATGGCTGGTTGTTCCAGAGGATGGTTGGTTGTTCCATAGGATGGTTGGTTGTTCCAGAGGATGGTTGGTTGTTCTAGATGGTTGTTCCAGAGGATGGTTAGTTGTTCCAGATGGTTGTTCCAGAGGATGGTTGGTTGTTCCATAGAATGGTTGGTTGTTCCAGAGGATAGTTGTTTGTTTCAGAGGATGGTTGTTCCAGAGGATGGTTGGTTGTTCCAGAGGATAGTTGTTTGTTCCAGAGGATGGTTGTTCCAGAGGATGGTTGGTTCCAGAGGATGGTTGGTTGTTCCAGATGGTTGTTCCAGATAATGGTTGGTTGTTCCATAGGATGGTTGGTTGTTCCAGAGGATGGTTGCTTGTTCCAGAGGATGGTTGTTTCCAGAGGATGGTTGTTCCCGAGTATGGTTGCTTGTTCCAGAGAATAGTTGTTTGTTCCAGAGGATGATTGGTTGTTCCAGAAACTGGTTGGTTGTTCCAGAGGATGGTTCGTTGTTCCAGAGGATGGTTGCTTGTTCCAGAGGATAGTTGTTTTTCCAGAGGATGATTGGTTGTTCCAGAGGATGGTTGCTTGTTCCAGAGGATGGTTGTTCCAGAGGATGGTTGGTTGTTCCAGAGAATGGCTGTTCCAGAGGATGGTTGTTTGTTCCAGATAATGATTGGTTTTTCCAGAGGATGGTTGGTTATTCCAGAGCATAGTTGTTTGTTCCAGAGGATGACTGGCTGTTCCAGAGAATGGTTGCTTGTTCCAGAGAATGGTTGTTCTAGAGGATAGTTGTTTCAGAGAATAGCTGTTTGTTCCAGAGGATGGCTGCGTTTTCTATAAGATGGTGGTTATTTTCACAATATAGTTACTTAATTGTCCCATACGACGGCTGGTTGTTCCACAAAATGGCCTTTTAATGGAAAAATTAGACAGAATTCCAGTCTATCATCGAATTAGCAATATATCTAGTCATATATATCTTTGATATCATTGATAATTAGCAAGATATCTAGATTAGAAAGTCATTGTAATCGCCACCCCTGTAGAGAGGGGCACCCAGGCCTCCGAAGGAAAGGGAATTATCAGGGGAAAGCGCCAAGCAATTACGACTGTTGTTGTTATAGATTCAGCTACTCGGAACAAGTTCCAAGTAGCACGGGCTATGGTGAGCCCGTAGTGGACTTACCTGGCACAGGAGCGGTGCTGTGAATTACGACTATATAACACTTTTAAGGGATCGGGATAATGATTAGAGATGGGACGGGGGGAAAAGGAATAGTGCTCAACCACTTTTGGACGGCCGGGGATTGAATGCAGATCTGCAGGAAGCGAGACCATCGCTCTACCGTTCAGTCCAAGTAGTATAGACACACTTCGACTGAGTATTCTCTCATGAATCTTATTAGGTCTAAAACAGTGTTTCATATTGATTCTGTAGAGAAACGGTCTTGCTTCATGCAGGTCGGCGTTTAATCCCCGACTCTACTTTTTGATTAACCTACTCAAACCAAACCAAGTCTAACCTTATGAATCCTATCCATACTTAACTTGCCGTAACCCAACTTAACCTAAGCTAAGGTTAGGCCGAGGAGCCGGTCGGCCGAGCGGACAGCATGCTGGATTTGTGATCCTGTGGTCCCGGGTTCGATCCCGGGCGTCGGCGAGAAACAATGGGCAGAGTTTCTTTCACCCTATGCCCCTGTTACCTAACAGTAAAATAGGTACCTGGGTGTTAGTCAGCTGCCACGGGCTGCTTCCTGAGGGTGGAGGCCTGGTCGAGGACCGGGCCGCAGGGACACTAAAGCCCCGAAATCATCTCAAGATAACCTCAATATCTCAAGATAAGCTAAGCAAACTTGACGAAAAGTAAGTTAACCTTGCGCATCCCGGTTCATACAACACATTCGCTCTGAAATCAACGAAAAAGGAGTGAGAAACAGCCGTTAATATTGTTTAGGTATCAATATATATATATATATATATATATATATATATATATATATATATATATATATATATATATATATATATATATATATATACTGAACAGTATATGCTGAACTGTATATACTGAACAGTATATACTGAACAGTATATATTGCTTAAACGTGTCGGAAGGCCTACGGTCCTCTTGAACAGGTGATAAGTGTGTGTGTGTGTGTGTGTGTGTGTGTGTGTGTGTGTGTGTGTGTGTGTGTGTGTGTGTGTGTGTGTGTGTGTACTCACCTATTTGTCATCACCTATTTGTGCTTGCGAGGGTTGAGCTTTGGCTCTTTGGTCCCGCCTCTCAACTGTCAATCAACTGGTGTACAGGTTCCTGAGCCTTTTGGGCTCTATCATATCTACACTTGAAACTGTGTATGGAGTCAGCCTCCACCACATCACTTCCTAATGCATTCGATTTGTCAACCACTCTGACACTAGAAAAGTTCTTTCTAATATCTCTGTGCCTCATTCGGGCACTCAGTTTCCACCTGTGGCCCCTAGTGCGTCTGCCCCTTGTGTTAAATAGCCCGTCTTTATCTACCCTGTCAATTCCTCTGAGAATCTTGTACGTGGTGATCATTCGTGTTTGTGTGTGTGTGTGGGGGGGGGGGGGTTCCGTTCGCAAGGGGGCGGTTTCACGCGCGGGTACCAAACCAGTTCTATGTCATACCCAACGGTACTTAACCTGATTGACCGAGTGCTACTCTCAGGGCACTCGGTCAATCAGGTTAAGAGCCGCTGGGCGTGCCGTGACCGTCCAAGTGGTTGGGCACCATTCCTTCCCTCCGTCCCATCACAAATCTTTATCCTGACCCCTTCCAAGTGCTATATAGTCGTGGTGGCTTGGCTCTTTCCTCTGATTATTCCCTCGCTTCCTCTCCTGTCCTTTCCTCCTCCTCCTCCTCTTCCCAAGTTGTCCACTCTTCCGTCTACTTCTGTCTGTTCCTCTGTTTTCCTGACCAATCTTCTTTTATCCCATTTTGCACCATATTTTCACCCTATCCTAATAATTAACATTGTCTGGCAGCCTAAAGTGTTTTCGTTATACTAATGATAATTACAATAATAATACTTTTTAGCGATTATGAAAAATTATGGTTCGGTACTGAACAACAGTAATTGCAATATCGATATAGATAATAGATAGCAATAACAGTAATTACGATAACAGATATGAGATAGCAATCATTAACGATAATTAGGACCTGATAATAAAGCAATATTGAATACGGGATATCTATTACCCATAACTAGTAAAAACAATATTGGACATTAACATCGTTAAGGACGGTAATGAATGAAGCAAACGAATTACAGAAATTAATTAAACAAATGATATTGAATAACAGTAATTTTTGTAAACAATAACAAAATTATTAAAACAAGTAAAACTGCAGTACAAGTAACGATAATGAATAAGATTTAAACAATATTAAATATCGATAATGCATAACGATTCAAAGTCCAATAATTGATAACGAAAATGGTAATTAATAAAGATGATGATTATAGAATAATAACGACAAATAACGCTAATAAATATAATAATGATATGAACTACATTAACCGCAGCAATAAATAAAATAAAAAAGTAACTTAAAAATCAATAAGTGACAGGGACCAAACATGAATCATAAGTAAAATAAGATTCCCGCAAAACAACGGAGGATCGAGTAAAAAATATACGACACTCTGGGAGAAAAAACAAAACAGGATCGAGTTTGTAAATCGTCCGACACTTTCCGATGATTCACTCTGTTAAAGATTCAGTTCTTCGTATACGGGTTTCAGGTGATTATATGACAGCGAGACAATGCTATAAATTCTTAACCCCTTCAGTAGAAATTTGAGGAGAGCAAAACAACATTTTTTTGTTTGGAGGCTCTGATTGAAAAAAAAAATAATTAAAAAATTTATTGGTCGATGTGTTGAGCAATTGCAGCTGCAATTGAAAAAAGAAAATCATTACGCGTTACTTTCAGTTTGAGTTTCATTAGAGAAATGTTTTAATATCTCCCAAGCCGTAATTTTTAATTTTATTTTGATGAGGAAACCATTATTATAAACCTTCGCCATATCGTAAATAATTTGACCGAGTCGCTTGGGTGTCAAAAATTTTTCATAAAAACACTCATAATTTCCTCCCCCTCCCTCCTCCCCCCTTAATGGAAAAATTAATACGCTAAAAAAAATATAATGAAATATTTTATGTGTTTGCTCACTTTAAGGAATTAATGCAACGAAAATATGAGTTATTACATTTGTGTTTTGTCGCGGTAGAAAATATATAACCTCGCTACAGCGAAATTACTGTTATTTTTAGGCCTCTGAGTGAACACTAGTGAACGCACTCTGGCAAGACAGGTGGTAATGAGTGCACTCGTAGACAAGATAAGTGATAACAATGAAAATAATACAAATAATAAAATGAGTTTAGCTGCAAAAAACACTACAAATATTTGAGAGCGTAAATCACAATAATATTATCAAGTGCTCCAAATTATAGAAATATTTTCAGATCATACTAATACAATAATACATTAATATGGTGATGATAATATTAATAATAATAATAATTATAATATAATTCTGATGTTTATAAAATGTTTTGTATATTATGCAACAAATATTTTTATGTAAATCATATAAATAATTGTATAATTTTGTAAATAATCTGGCTTGTGATAAACTTACAAACATGCCAGTACACAAGTTGCTAGGTCACACACCTGGCCGGCGTTGGCCTAGCCTGCACACACACACCTGGCCGGCGTTGGCCTAGCCTGCACACACACATTAGGCCGGCGTTGGCCTAGCCTGCACACACACACCAGGCCGGCGTTGGCCTAGCCTGCACACACACCAGGCCGGCGTTGGCCTAGCCTGCACACACACCAGGCCGGCGTTGGCCTAGCCTGCACACACACCAGGCCGGCGTTGGCCTAGCCTGCACACACACCAGGCCGGCGTTGGCCTAGCCTGCACACACACACACCAGGCCGGCGTTGGCCTAGCCTGCACACACACACCTGGCCGGCGTTGGCCTAGCCTGCACACACACACCTGGCCGGCGTTGGCCTAGCCTGCACACACACACCTGGCCGGCGTTGGCCTAGCCTGCACACACACACCAGGCCGGCGTTGGCCTAGCCTGCACACACACACCAGGCCGGC